TATTAATTATTGACTCAGACAAATCACAGTAAGAAATATACACATGTGTGTATTAATAAAAATAGAAAAATCTTCAAACAATGACTGTACAGTTGTGCCAAACACAGCAGAGAGTACATATGTGTGGCCCATTTCATCCTAGACAATTTTCAGGAAACAAGTTGGAGTACTAGTGCATATGCAATTATTCTGCACGTATTTTGCAGCTGCACTCCAATTCTGACAAGGGGGATGGGTCCGTGAAGTATATTCTTACTGGAGAAGGTGCTGGGACGATATTTATCATCGATGACACCACAGGCGACATCCACTCCACGAAAAGCCTAGACAGAGAGCAGAAGACACACTACGTGCTGCATGCTCAGGCCATTGACAGACGCACAAACAAACCTCTTGAACCCGAATCTGAGTTCATTATCAAAGTGCAAGATATCAATGACAACGCTCCCAAATTCACCGATGGACCGTACATTGTTACTGTGCCTGAGATGTCGGATATGGGTAAGGAAACTTATCTTTTTACTTGAAAAATTAATGTATAGTTTTAAAAACACAAAAGTCATTTCTTCAAAACAAGTTCGAGAGTGTCTATGTATATGTACGTGTGTGTGTGTACGTGTGTGTGTGCACTTGTATGTGTGTTTAGAGAAATGTGGGAAAGTTTGAAAATGTTAATATTTTTGCATAAGATAAAGGACCTTGAGGCTAGTTAAGCATTTATGAAATTTAATTTCTGAACACGCAAATATAATGTATTGATTTTAAAGAAAACATGACTTTTTCATAAAATTTAAAATTAGACAGTTTTGTAAATTTTGAATTATATGGTTTCAGTTGTAACTTGCATAACTCCTGCAATTTTTGCTTCCTGGTCATGGGTTTTTGTTCTTGGTAATTATGAACATATGTTAAGAACATAACAGCTTATTATACGTGAAATTATATGACATTTGGAATTTTTAGCTACATGCTTTCAGACAAAAACTCACAATTGAATTATAATTCCTTTAGTTGTAGAAGCAGTTACTCCACTAAGGAAGAAAAATTTCTAGATATTCCTTAGCATCTCCATGCATATCTTATTTCAAAAAATATCAAGATCTTGTGAAATGCTTGAACATAGTTTTAAAACTCTGCAAACCGGCAGTGAGTTTAAGGCATTTTTGGGGTGCACATGACTAGGCAACAGCTTGGGAGGACTCTCTCAGGTTCCCCTGAAGACTAGCACTGTGCCATAGCTGCTGGACCATCAACACGACCCAGAGGGGCTCTGATGCTCAGGACCTTTT